TTAAATAATAATAATAAAAATTATAGGTTGAAATGACAATGTATATTGAAATATTTTAATTTTTTTCTAGTTAAGTGGGTTGAAGGTCAACTTGTCAACCCATCATTTTTAACCCATAAACTAACTAAAGAGGGTCAACCCGCCAACCCACTGCTAAGTGGGAATGACTTACATTTTTTAACTCATTTTTTTGTTGGTCAACGTGTCCCACCTCATTTTTTTGGTGGATCAACTCGCCTCATCCCATTTTAGGCGAGTTGACCCACTTTCTCACCTATTGGAAAAACAATCATTAAATACACTTGTTATGAAGTATATTGTCTTTCTTTATTACAAAGGTAACAAAAATGTCTTATGTTTTATCTCTTGGGATCAATATTTTTTTGTACAAAATGAAATGTTAACTTCAAAAGGCATTATTGTCACCTTAGAAAAGACTTGCCCAAAATGATATTTCTTTCCTAACACAAAAAAAAATAATTGTTATGATTTTTGAAGAGACATTATCCATAAAGTAAATTAAAAAAAAAACTTGATTTTTCAAATCTATGGAGAAAAGAGACACTTGAAAGGGGATTAGTGTTTATAAAAAAACTCAACACTTTTTTTGAAACAGTGAATTAGGAACAAAATCGTAAGAGAGTAAACAACGAGCAAAGTAAGAAGAACACAATGCTTTTATATTGGTTTGTCTCAACCACAAAGACTACATCCAATTCTTGATCAATCCAATCAAGTTTTACTATTTTTTAAAAGTATACAAGTATTTTTTCACAAGTCACTTTTGACTCAACCTAAGTGCTCTTTGACTTGTCTCTTCAAGCAATTATCCAAATATTCTTTTGACACAAAGTCTCTCTAGACTTTAACAATCAAGTATTCTTTTACAGTCAAGCATCTCTAGCCTCTAACAACCAAATATTCTATTATAGTCAAGTCTCTCCAAGCTCAAACAACCAAGTATTCTTTTATAGTTAAGGCTCTTTAAGCTCAAAGCTAACAACACAAAGTTAAAGTTGGGTAAGCTAACAATGTTGTTTTGTCTTACTATCTAGATATGATACAACCAATTAAGTACAATATTTCTTACATAAAAAATAATGTATTTTTACAATGAATATGTGTTCTCTTTCTTTCTGAATCTTCAAGCTTTTTTATATAGGTGTTTTATGAAAATGATCGTTGTAAAACCTTGAGCATCTCTCATAGGCTTACTTCGTTTGTCTTCATCTTCATTCGATGTAGATGAAAGTGTTTATTGGTGCATTAAATGCTTACATTAAATATGTTTCACCAAATAGTCACTTATTATTTGATCAAAAAATCTATTTATCACCTTTTAGGCACAAAAAGAGAGGAACCATCCGTGTGTCAGTCTAAAATAGTTATCCCTACAATTTTTCATTCTTTGTGAGATATTGATAGAACTAGATGAAGACCGGTTGTTAAATCTTCATAACTCCACCTTTCAGCGACCTTTGCACCTTGAGGTTGACACAGTTTTGAGCTTGAATCACCTTGAAGAAACCTTCAATGGTGGAGAAGCAACAATGGAGGTTCGGCCACTCCTTGAAGATGGAGAAGCTTGAGGAACCTTGCTCAAAGGTTGAAGTTCCTTTGAAAGAAACCTAGAGAGAAATGTTCTCCACGGTTTTGTGACTTAAGAGAAGAGAGAATTCTAAGATAATTTTCTGAATTCATTCATCAAGAGTGAGAGAATAGGTGAGGTTTACAAATATATAGGGAGAGGTAGCTTAGAGAGCAAGCTAACCTTAACCATGGTTCACTAGGAACCATGGTAAGGTTTAGCCTAACCGTCCATGGTTTCTAAATCTTGGAGAGCAAGCTAACCTTAACCATGGTTCACTAGGAACCATGATAAGGTCGGCCTAACCACCCAAGGTTTAGAAACTTGGAGAGCAAGCTTCTAAGCTTGAAGAGAATGACTCAAAATTTCGGCCAAGAGTGAAAGAATGAGCTAGGCGGCCATGACTCTATTTTTCTCACTTGATTTATTTCAAAAATGTTGATTTGGTTTAGTTAGGTTCATCCTTTGATGATGAGACCTAGCGAAATCAAATCTATGAAAAATTAGGAGCAAAATGAGTTTAATATGTAAAATTTTGCCTAGGCCTAACTCTGGCCCAATTTCTAATCACACTCCCAGGCATTGCTAAATGTCACCCCTTTTTCCCTACTGAAAAAATAGAAAATGAGTGTATCAACAAAGGAGGTTAAATGGAGTCAAACTCTCCAAGTAACCCACCCTAGAATCAATATACAATCACTAATTAAAGCAAGTAAAGTGCCTCACAAATACAAAGGCAAAAATAGACCTATACAAGATAACTATGTACAAAATATACACAAGTAGAACTAGGCCTTCTCTTCATGATAGAGTAGTCCAAGTGCAGAATGCCTTGGGCTTGAGAAGCCTGCTAGTCTTCAAGAGGTCCAACTCTTCTTGTATTTTTCTAGCCATAGCTCTAGTGATTGGGCCCTTGGCCCATGGTCTATCAGATATGTTAATCCTTTTTCTAACGAAAAGTGTGTCTTTAGTTCCTTTAGTGATTTGTGAGTATCGAAGAAGCTTTATCAATTCGATCTATTAAGGAATCACATGAACAAAAATATATATGTTATCAGACATCATTAATGATATAAATTAAGAGCACATATCTTACAGATGAAGTGCTTCATCTATGAGAGGTAATGTAAAGATAAGTGAAAGTCTTAATCAAATCATCTTATAAACATTCGTCTTAAAAAAAATCTTCCCTCAAAAAATGTCTATGATTGTTACTATTAAAACATGAAATCCTAAGGAGCCTAAGATCGTCTTTGACTTAACAAAATCGAAAATGACTAGTTGGTGAAGAACATTAAATGCTTCAATAGAGATTCCTCTTCAAAGAAGATAGGCGATGCTCTACAAAATAACTCTTAAGACTCCCAACGATCATATTTGAAGAGTTGCATATATATATTATATCAAAATACAAAGTATTATTTATTTTGTTTATTATTAATAAAGATCTTTAAGTGTTCAAAACCTTTCTTGTATAAAAGTTTGTGCTTAAAATTGCACATTCACCTTTATAAGATGATAGTTCGTTAATGAACTTTACCTTTAGGTAATTCAATAGTGAAATTTGTGTGAATCCATAAGAATTATTTTTATGAAAAGAATGTGTTTGAAGCTTGGAGAGACATTGTGTTGAAAGAATATTCAAACTTAGTTGTTTGATTAGAAAAGAGAAAAACTATTGGAGTCAAGAATGACTTATGTAATGAAAAATGTGTTGTGTTTCTGTTTTATTGAAACATGGGTAGATTAACTAAGAATTACACGTAGTCTCAGTAAGAATATTAAATTAGTATATAATCTTGTATTTTTATCTTTTTTATTTTACTTTTGGATAACCATATTATTAGTACGGAGTATCAACTTACTTCGTTAATGACTAATCTCCATTGAAAAATCTAATTGAGCACTTTTAGTGCAGGCCTCCCTTCTTAATCATGTTTTTTTTTCATACATAAGACTCAAACTTAAAACATTAAAGAAATTAAGTCAAATATCACTAAGACCAACAACTTGTTAGTTGCGGTTAATCTTCTATATCTACACTTTTAATTAAAACAAAAGTGAGAAAAACAATTATAATTATGTCATCTTGTTCTTCTATGTGTCTTATGAACATATTATATTAATCTACCTTCAAATATTTTACAAAATTATTTCAAAACACAATTCAACATTCTATTTGAGATCTATGATTAATATTATATCACCAATATTACTATTGTTACTAATACATATAAAGATAATAATGTTAATGACAATAATATAAACCTTTGAATTATCATGGAGAACCGTGACAAAAACTTAAATAATATATGCAAAATTGTATATTCTAATTTTATTTTTAAAAAATAAGTATTTCTTATTTATTTATTTATTTTACTAAAGGGAAAACAAAGAAACCCCATACGCACCCCAACCAGGATTCAATTTATATTTCTCTATATTTGCCCCCAAATTGATTAAATAAAAATGCCACGAACCCATCTCACAAATTATGCATAAAACCTCTAACAGAGGCAGGGACGACAGTACAAACCAAAAACTTTTCCCTTCGTACTTCGAAATATGAAATGCGGGGTGGGGCAGACTGCAGAATATATAACTGGCAAACTAATCTTAACTGGGGCAACTGGCAAACTAATCTTAACTGGGGCAACTACCACCCAAGCCCATTTTATAGTTGGAAAGAGAATTTTAGAAATCATTGGTGTATACATTCCAAATACGTAGATAAGATTAAGATACTAATAGGACATTGTATACATAAATCTCATGCTTTTATATATTACACTTTAATAAAATTATAAAGTTGCCAATAAAGACACATCTTAAAAAATTCAAAATCAGCTTTTATAAATTAAAATATAAATATAGGACACAACAAAAGCTAACACATAATAGAAATAATTTTTCCATGAGTAATAACATCGATACTATACTTGTATCAATGTGTACAAATACAACAATCATTCCAATATTATTTAATCCTTTTCACAAGTTTCTTTAATCCAATCTTTCTACATTAATTATGAATAGTTAACAGCTTTTCAGGAACAAAACAAATTATTATTTTATGAAATCTTATACAACACTAAATTAAGATTTTTTTAAAAAATATTGGATATTGTTGTCAAATTTTCCTAAATAACACTACTACATTAAAATTAAAATACAAGAATTTACATATTATTATCCTTCAAAATTATAAACACATTCTTATTCATGAAGACTTGGGTTATCTCCTACATTCTTAACCTAAATCATAGGATCCAATTTCATATATGTTAATGAAATCAAAATAATAGATAAATATTAAACTTGTTCCAACTACCCTTTAAGACAGTTGTATGATCAATGAACACATAAAATAAAGCAAGAGTAATAATAACAATAAGCAAACTACTACAACTAGTAAAATAAAGATGGCATACTACAGCCTGCATTCAAGAGACAAGACAAGTACTTCTTCCACATGTGTCTAGTTTAGACATTCATAATGAAAAAGCAAGGGCGACCATGCCAATATGCTCAAAATAAGGAAACAAAATAACCATTCGATTAGATTAATAGTAATCCACTTAAATCCTAAAATACTGTCTTCTTAACGGGATTAGATTAATAGTAATCCACTTAAATCCTAAATACTGTCTTCTTAACGGGACACGTGGCTCCCTCCCCTAATAATAATCATCACTGCTACAACTAAAACAAACTGAAAATCAAACAGTCAGACCAACATCAAGAGATCTGAACGGTCATTAAGCCTCCACATCAGCAGATTTCTTCCCGGGAGAAGAGAAGACCCAAACAAAACCGTACGGGTCCTTCACCTTCCCCACGCGCCCACCGCAGCACGCGCCTTCACCCTCCGTCACTTCACCTTCCGCAACCGCCCCAGCGCTCACCGCCTTGGCGATGGCCCCTTCAACGTCCTCCGTCTCCAAGCACAAAACGACACCGTTTGACCCGGACTTAACCCTGACAAACAAAACACCATTCACCAAATAAATAAAAAACATTAAGAAAAAAAATAAGAAAAACGAAAACACGTTTTACAAAACAGCAAGAGAAAACAAACACCGAAACATATAGATATACTACGGACACGAGACACTAGAGTCCAAACAAAAGTTGAAACAAAAACCATGGAAGAATAATAGAGACAAAAAGGAAACCACAATTCTCAAAGAGAAATACTTCTATTACACGCAGATCGAGCTTGTACTAAACAAATATATACATAACAAGCATATACCAAAGCATTAACAACTTTAAATACCATTAAAATATACCTATACCTTGGAATAACAACACAAACATAAAATCCATCAAAAACTAGAAACAAAATAGGAAAAACAAACTTGGTATACATAGATCTATGGCAAGATGAACGATGAAGATGAAAAGAGAGAAAAAAAAAACTAACGGTGAAGCAGAGTCAACAGCGAGGTCAGCAACGAGAATGGTGGAGCCACCGATTTTGAGCTCTGCTGAGAGTATGAGAGGAAGCTCGTGGTCCGCTTTGCGCTTAGGGTTGAGCGTACGGCCAACTTCTTCGGCGCCAAACGCGGCCTTGTAGAACAGAACGGCGTCGTTCGCCTTGGGAGCTTCCACGAGGAGCTGCGGCTTCACAGCGAGAAACGACACCGCAGCAGCAGCCACATTCTCCGACGCACCGTTTTGAGGTTCTTGAGCCATAGGAAACAAGCCACAGAGAGAGACAAAAACCCTAACCCTAGGAGAGAGAGTTGAGAAAAATGAATTGAGCGTGAAGGAAGAAATGGTGGTGGGACAGTGCTTATATAGAGGCGGGGGAGCGGAAACGTCTCGGGGGTAAAATGGGAATTGTGGGGAAGCGAGAGTTCAGTGCATTTACTTTACCAATGTTTTTTAATTTTTATTTTAAATGAAAAGAAGGTTTTGGGTTTTGGATAAAGGGGGAACTGAGACTGCCCCTGGTTCTCACTTTAATTTACGAAGCATGCCATTAAGAGAAGCCAACGGTCTTTTCGTATTACATGTATGTGATGTTATACCAACGCGCAAGCCCCACGCGCCGTTTTTGACAAAAGAAATGAGAAAAGAAGGGTTTGATATTTTGAAATACTTTAATTAAGAATGAATTCAGAAACTCGACCTTGCAGTCAGGGCAATACTTGTAAGGTGAACAATGAAACTAAATACTGTAAAATATTGAAAAAATAATATTTGATTCTCTGTTTAAATTATTACAATAAATAAAATAAGAAGGGATGTATTTTGTTTTATTTTATATTTTCTCTTGTCTTGAAAAATGAGATATTTGAAGGAAACGTATAAGTAGAAATGTAGAATCATAGTTTTCTTGCATTTTATTCTTCACTTTATTTCATTTTTTTATATTTTATATGTCAGTAGTATTAAACTCTTAATTATTAGATTATTTTTCTATTTAAATGTGCGTAATGTATGTGTTAAATAAATTATATATATAAATAAATATTATATTTTAATATATAAATTATATTAAAAGCTTAAATAAATAAATATTTTAAATGATAAATTATACTTTAAATTTATTATAAATAATTTATATTTTAATACAAGATTATTTCTATATATTGATAATTTATTTTAAAAATATTAAAATATAATTTATAAATAAAAAATGAATTAAATATGTAATTAAAAATAGTCTCTATAGACTTTCTTATATTATAGAAAAATTCTTTAAAATATTTACACATGAGATAGTTTTTTATTTAATATATAAAGATTAATGTTAATTAATTAATTATATAAAAATATATCATTAATATATATAAAAAAAATTACTATATTTTATTTCATTAAATCTTTGGGATATCCAAATATTAAAAATTCGTGATAGATCAGTATTTGAAAATATAAATTTAATTTTAATGATCATGTTAACTGTTATCTTAAGCATGATGGTTCAAAGAAATGTTTTTATTAAAAAAAATGAAACGTGTCTATATAGTTTTGTCCTGATTTTAATCCATTTAAAGTGAACAAATATATAAAATCGTGAAATAAAAATGGTATTTTTCATTGATATTAACTAAAATACTTGTACATCACAGGTATTTCATCCTATAATAACCCTTTATTTGATTTATAAAACATAGAGGACAGAAAGTGAGAAGAAGAGAAACATAATAACTAGAAAGTAAGGATGAGTATAATTTAAGATAAGATAGACTTTAAATATATAGAATGAATTTATTTTATAAAATTAAAGTCTAAACATGATCTATTATTTCTTATAGGTTTTTTTCATAGGTTTGGTCTAATTTTTTTTAAAGATTGACATGATTTATTAGTTTATTTAAATTATTAATGTTAATTAGGTTAATAAACTTAATTTTTAAAAATTAATAAATATTTTTAAAATATAATTTACTTGATATTATTAAAATTTAAATTTTATAAAAAAATATAAGAGAAAAATTGAATCATTTTTTATTGAAGGAACAATTTATGTGTAACCATGTATGTTGATATATACTCATGCACAAGTTTTAAGCTTATAAACCTATAATAATAAAAAATAATTATATAAAAAATATTTTAAATATTGATATTTTATTTTTATTTTTATAAATTTATTTATTTATTTATTTATTTTAATATATATATATATATATTAAT